AAAAAAATAATTAAAAGAACAAATGGCCAGGTAAATATTTATTTTATTTTTAAAAAGTTTTTGAATGCTTATTCAACACAGTGCAATCGAGTGGACATGAAACAGTTTTTGAATGCTTATTCAACACAGTGCAATCGAGTGGACAAGAAACAGTTTTTGAATGCTTATTCAACACAGTGCAATCGAGTGGACATGAAACAGTTTTTGATGAAGACCTCGAGACACAGACTTACCAGACAGACACAATCAGCGACAGCCTCTCACTCAAGTACTCACTGGCCAGCGTGCATGCATCACGTGACTACTTCACGGCCTTGGGGGAGTCAGAGACTATTAGATTAACGAGGGAAGGGGAGGGGAGGGGAGGGAAGGGGAGGGGAGGTTTACCATGAGACAAGCTCCAACAGCAGTCTTAGTGCTAGAAATTATCTCCATGTCGGTTAGCTGACCACAGCCATAAGATAAGCTAACTACAACCCCACAGCTAACTATCCGCAGCCATAAGATAAGCTAACTACAACCCCACAGCTAACTATCCGCAGCCATAAGATAAGCTAACTACAACCTCACAGCTAACTATCCGCAGCCATAAGACACACAGCATCCCTTTTTTTTCTATTCATTAAACATTGCATGTATTTTAAAATAATTATGTTAGAATTTAATTATGTGTGTGTGTCAATATGTAAGGTGTGTGAATGTGTGAATACCTGTATGTAACCATATATCCGTAGAATAAAAGGTTTTGCTTATACTGACCGCCTTGTCGTTTGGTTTACTCAGACCATTGTTGATTAATCAAAATATTTTTGCCACGTGTACACATAGACAGCTATCTTGTGAACAAAGCTACTCTATATTTTAGCCACGTGTACACACACAGTTGTACGAACTTTTTTCGACACAATAAATTTGACTTTCTCTGTCGTGATTTTTGGGCGTCTGCTCCACGTCCACTCACATATAGAAATGTTCGGTTAAGTTAAGAGCTGAGTCGACTCAGTCAATCACTCAACCATGATCTTTGTATAGGTCAGGTACCAATTAGAGCTGGTGGAACTCAAGTCGACATCAAACTACACGAGACTGTGTATCAACCTGTAGCGGATTAAGGGGAGGGGCTTAAAGGGCTGCAGTCAAGGCCCCCCGATTTTTAGGGGCCACCACATTTGAATAACAAGCTTGAATGATTTTTTTTTTCAAAATATCAAACACGTGCACACGCTTAAATATAAAAATATCAAACACGTGCACACGCTCAAATATAAATACCAGCAGTCATCAACTCCTGACCAGACATTGTTTAAATAAAGCTCCCAGACCAGCGTTCGTTTATGACAATACAATTAGCAGATTTATCTTTAAGAAAAAGCAGCCGAATAGCGGTACGTGATTGACACATAGTTAAAAAATGCCAGCAATTAAAAATGTTTTCATCAGATCAAATCTCGTCAGATCTCGTCAGATCTCGTCAGATCTCGTCACGAGCTGGTCAGATCTCGTCTGATCTCGTCACGAGCTAGTAACAAAAATATATCATATAAAACTCTAGAGAGTCAACCCTGTGTGTTAGTTATCAGTCTCATGCATTCAGACACCAGCTTTATATGCTAACCCTAGCAACCAATGAAAACATTCCTAACCGTCTTTAAATTGTGTTAAAATGACAGGCCATTTTACTTACCAAATACCACAACTATTATTTGTTCCCCATGAAATAACTTTAAACCTCACAACTATTATTTGTTCCCCATGAAATAACTTTAAACCTCACAACTATTATTTGTTCCCCATGAAATAACTTTAAACCTCACAACTATTATTTGTTCCCCATGAAATAACTTTAAACCTCTTCCCCCCCTCTCTCATGTCACGAGCCGCTGTCGTCGCTTTCTGCTCTGAAACTGTTTACATATAACGACGACACTACCTGAAATAGTATACATTGTTTTTCTGGTATGCAATTCTGTTGATTAACTAGTTTCAGGAAATAAAACACCGAATCTTAACAAAACAGGCTAGAAAAAAATGTTTTACTTCAACATTTGAGTGTATGAATTACCCATCTAGTAGCTTACAAATGGCGCTTGAATCCAAAAATAATAGGAAAAAAATGGGTAGTCCAATTGATCAAACTATTTACACCGTCAAAATCACTACGTTTTCAAAAGGTAGGAAGTAATCTATGTTTTCAATTTTGTTGTTTGAAGTGAAAGGTGGACTAGTATCATTGGGGGTTTTTTCTTATAAAAGAAAATAAAAATAATTTTCCTGTCGATTTTTATTTGTTTCTTACAGACAGTCTATATGAATGTTGAATGTCCAAACCATACGCTGTTTTTCCATTAAATTTACAAATACGAAAGTATGGATTTTTTTCCCACATGAATATTTGTTCCTTAGTCGGACATAAACGCCAAAGCTCTACAGTGCAAAAATGTGTAGTGTTAGCTGTCATCGCTTCATGTCAAACAATATTAATTCAACGTCAGCTCTCCCTAAAATACTAAATGTGCTTCTGATTGCTCTTGCTTAGCTTATAAAATACGACCAGTAATTATATCACATCAGGTTGGGCCTAGCTTACTTTGTCAGACCTGCAAATGTAAAGTGGACTGACCACACATAGTAATATAATATTAAGTAACATAAAATGTATTAATATAATCGAGTGTCGTTCAATGGATCTAGACAAGCAGCATTATAACTCTAAAATGTTTACAATAAGTAGATGTGAATCAAATTTGAATGAAATAGTTCATTTCTTTATATTCTAAAATTGGTAGATGACGCCATTAGCTTTGTTTTCTTTCCGTAGTTGAAAGATGTGGCATGTGACGTCATTGTTTAATGCGTTCTTGTCACGACAATAAACAGCTAGAAATGTTTTTCTACATTCGAATAGGCCTTTATTTTTATTTTCCTACTTTAAATAAAATTTAGTTTATACATTTATAACATCCACCATATTATTTTCTACAAAAGTCCGTATCTTTAAGCTCTCCATATATCGCTGAACATACTGATCACATAGCCTAAGAATGTTGCGCACGGAGAGAGAGAGAGAGAGAGAGAGAGAGAGAGAGAGAAGTGCTCACGTGGGCCTTTATATATTAGGATTAGATGCCAGCGTACTAGACTAATTAATTCAATATAAATTGATGATTGTTTCACTTAAGGTGATATTCTTTGTTTTCTTTTACATTCTCCTGAAGACACAAGGGCTTTTATAAAAGTTATTTTCTTCTGTTTTAAAATTGTGCCATTTAGATCTAGTCCTCTCGTTGTTTTCTCATGGATTTTGACTAGTTTATTATTCACATGTTTATACGGATAACCAAGTTTTAGTCGCATAGGTAATTCAGAGAGTCACTTAATGCAAACGCTAAGTGTGTATAAATTCTTTTGCTAAATCCCCATGACTTGGCTATTTTATTTTTTATATTGGAATAATAGCGCATTTTAACTAGCATTTGTTTACTTATTGTATTTCACATGTACTTTTCACATGTACATAGGCCTATATATATATATATATATATATATATATATATATATATATATATATATATATATATATATAGGGGCCACCTAACAAATTCAGCCGGGGGCCCAACACAAGCTTAATCAGTCCTAGGTGTCAACCTTCTGGTTAGCATTTTAACAACATCATGACAAATTTTTGACAACATTATGGAAAATTTTCGACAACATTATGAGAAATTTTTGACAACATTATGACAAATAATTGACAACATTATGACAACAATGTGACAACATTGTAAAAAGATAGGAGCTAAAAATAAATTATTATGAAAATTTATTTCCACATTTCAATAAAACAAAACTTTTAAAAAGTCAATCATGGATGATAAAAGTCGACATATTGACATACATTCAAATGATAAACGTCGACATATTGACATACATTCAAATGATAAAAGTCGACATATTGACATACATTCAAATGATAAAAGTCGACATATTGACATACATTCAAATGATAAACGTCGACATATTGACATACATTCAAATGATAAAAGTCGACATATTGACATACATTTAAATGGTAAACGTCGACATATTGACATACATTCAAATGATAAACGTCGACATATTGACATACATTCAAATGATAAAAGTCGACATATTGACATACATTCAAATGGTAAACGTCGACATATTGACATACATTCAAATGATAAACGTCGACATATTGACATACATTCAAATGATAAACGTCGACATATTGACATACATTCAAATGATAAACGTCGACATATTGACATACATTCAAATGATAAACGTCGACATATTGACATACATTCAAATGGTAAACGTCGACATATTGACATACATTCAAATGATAAACGTCGACATATTGACATACATTCAAATGATAAACGTCGACATATTGACATACATTCAAATGATAAACGTCGACATATTGACATACATTCAAATGATAAACGTCGACATATTGACATACATTCAAATGATAAACGTCGACATATTGACATACATTCAAATGATAAACGTCGACATATTGACATACATTCAAATGGTAAACGTCGACATATTGACATACATTCAAATGATAAACGTCGACATATTGACATACATTCAAATGATAAACGTCGACATATTGACATACATTCAAATGATAAACGTCGACATATTGACATACATTCAAATGATTAACGTCGACAGATTTACTTTTATACGTATAAAATTATGAAAAAAAGTGTTTAAAATACCCTTTGTATTAATCCCACTGGATATGTTAACAAATCATTGAAAAAAACATTCAACAAATCATATAGCAATTCATCCAATAAATCATGCAAAAAATCATGTAACAAATTATACAACAAATCATGCAAAAATAATTATTCAAATGATTATACTAATGTTAAAATTGTCAAAGAAAAATAAATACAAATAATAATAATCCCCAATTTTTTAACGATTTTGTAACATTGTTTATCTTGATTGTAAAAATCTTCATGAACACGTATTACTTTTTGATAATCATGTACATACTACACGTAAAATTTGTGTACATACAATGTTCCATACTACATGCAGGGCTATGCATATACAACCCCCACCCCCACATCATTTAAATGATGGCGAAATACATCAGCCGATATCATCGACAAAATGACAGTGTACAATCTATGTCTTAAACTTCTATCTCAGTCATGTCTTACTTTAGCTGTCTTACTTGAGCTGTCTTACTTGAGCTGTCTTACTTGAGCTGTCTTACTTGAGCTGTCTTTCTTGAGCTGTCTTTAACAATCGGAGATTTCATTATAACAGTCACGTCTAACTTTCTGAAATGGGGAAAGAAATGTATACGTTTGATAGAAAAACATGTCTTACTGTGTAAATTGACGTATAACTGTCTGATATTAAACATGTCTTAGAGTGTCTCGGTGTGTTCAGATAAAGAGTGTCTCACCTCACACATACAGTGTGTCTCACCTCACACATACAGTGTGTCTCACCTCACACATACAGTGTGTCTCACCTCACACATACAGTGTGTCTCACCTCACACATACAGTGTCTCACCTCACACATACAGTGTCTCACCTCACACATACAGTGTCTCACCTCACACATACAGTGTCTCACCACACACATACAGTGTCTCACCTCACACATACAGTGTCTCACCTCACACATACAGTGTCTCACCACACACATACAGTGTCTCACCTCACACATACAGTGTCTCGCCTCACGCATACAAAGTGTCTAGCCTCACACATACAAAGTGTCTCACTATACACATACAGTGTCTCGCCTCACACATACTGAGTTCTGTAAAACCAAGTGTTGACCAAGCAACGATAACTGTGTTTTAAAAAGTGTGAATATAATCCCAGTTTGCATCCCTTCACATTCATTTCTCCCTACATTATATCAGCTCAACTCTGCCTTAATGTCAGTTGTAATTCTTTCAGTAGACAGATTAGCAGAATGTCAGTTGTAAGTCTTTCAGTAGACAGATTAGAAGAATGTCAGTTGTAAGTCTTTCAGTAGACAGATTAGAAGAATGTCAGTTGTAAGTCTTTCAGTAGACAGATTAGCAGAATGTCAGTTGTAAGTCTTTCAGTAGACAGATTAGAAGAATGTCAGTTGTAAGTCTTTCAGTAGACAGATTAGAAGAATGTCAGTTGTAAGTCTTTCAGTAGACAGATTAGCAGAATGTCAGTTGTAAGTCTTTCAGTAGACAGATTAGAAGAATGTCAGTTGTAAGTCTTTCAGTAGACAGATTAGCAGAATGTCAGTTGTAAGTCTTTCAGTAGACAGATTAGCAGAATGTCAGTTGTAAGTCTTTCAGTAGACAGATTAGCAGAATGTCAGTTGTAAGTCTTTCAGTAGACAGATTAGCAGAATGTCAGTTGTAAGTCTTTCAGTAGACAGATTAGCAGAATGTCAGTTGTCTTTCAGTAGACAGATTGTTAATATTTCACACAGAGATGGGCAAAAAATCAATACTCAATGAAATGGCTAGAGTTTAGGGGTTTGTAAAATTTATTGGGTGAACTGTTACAACTCTAGGGTTAGGGTTAGAGTTTAGGGGTTTGTAAAATTTATTGGGTGAACTGTTACAACTCTAGGGTTAGGGTTAGAGTTTAGGGGTTTGTAAAATTTATTGGGTGAACTGTTACAACTCTAGTTTTTCCTTCAACAGATGCTGTGGTGTTACATCGTGAGTAAAAAACATGTGCACATACCTCGCTGTGGTGTTACATCGTGAGTAAAAAAAAACATGTGCACATACCTCGCTGTGGTGTTACATCGTGAGTAAAAAAAACATGTGCACATACCTCGCTGACTCACGCCGATTCTATTTCTGGTCGGCTTTTTTGTCCGGGGCCAGCATTACGGGGAGTTTCTGGGCAACCGGTTTTACAACGACCGGTTTTACAACGACCGGCTTTTGAACGACCGGCTTCTTCTCGGCGACCTTGACTTTGCTTAGACTCGGAGCCTGTTTGAGTGCCACGATTCGCTTGACCTGCTCCTTCAAGTCCTTTTCTGCCGGCTTCTGGGTTTTAGCCGGAACCGGTTTTTTTGTCAGTTCTTTCTCATATTTTTTTGTCTTGGTGACTTGTGACGTTTGTTTTGTCTGCCGTGTTTTTTTGTCCAGACCAGCTTTCAACTTGTCTTGTTCAGATTTGAACGGACTGTTTGTCTTCGGTTTCACTTTATTATCCGGCGATTTCTGTACGTTGATTCCAACCGATTTTTTGTTCGTTGGCTTACTTGTAGCTTTACTAAGCTCTGGAGCTTTAATGGGCTTAAGCTCCCGATGGGGCGTGGTCTCGGGGTGGGCGTGTGGCGGGATGTGGTTGATGTTGTGAACGTGCTCGTCGTCCTCCTCGATGCCCATCCACCGGACCGGCTTGTGCGGCCGGTTGTTGACGTGCTTCGAGTGGTCCAGGTTCTTGTCGTTGTCGATGAAGAACGTGTCCCGACGGTGGACCTTCTGGTGGTCGTGTAGGGAGAAGTTGCCCTCATTCTCGGGGTAGGAGAACTTGCTGTAAGACACAGGGCACAAGGTCATCACGTGCAATAGACACAAGGTCATCACGTGCAACATACACAGTACACAAGGTTATCATGTGCAACATACACAGGGCACAAGGTCATCACGTGCAACATACACAGGGCACAAGGTCATCACGTGCAACATACACAGAGCACAGGTTCATCACGTGCAACATACACAGGGCACAAGGTCATCACGTGCAACATACACAGAGCACAGGGCACAAGGTCATCACGTGCAACATACACATGACACAAGGTCATCACGTGCAACATACACAGGACACAAGGTCATCACGTGCAACATACACCGGACACAAGGTCATCACGTACAAAGGGCACAAGGTCATCACGTGCAATAGACACAAGGTCATCACGTGCAACATACACAGGACACAAGGTCACCACGTGCAACATACACAGGGCACAAGGTCATCACGTGCAACATACACAGGGCACAAGGTCATCACGTGCAACATACACAGGACACAAGGTCACCACGTGCAACATACACAGGGCACAGGGTACAAGGTCATCACGTGCAACATACACAGGGCACAAGGTCATCACGTGCAACATACACAGGGCACAAGGTCATCACGTGCAACATACACAGGGCACAAGGTCATCACGTGCAACATACACAGGGCACAAGGTCATCACGTGAACCATACACAGGGCACAAGCTCACCACGTACACAGGACACAAGGTCATCACGTGCAATAGACACAAGGTCATCACATGCAAAATACACAGGGCACAAGGTCATCACGTGCAACATACACCGGACACAAGGTCATCACGTACAAAGGGCACAAGGTCATCACGTGCAATAGACACAAGGTCATCACGTGCAATAGACACAAGGTCATCACGTGCAACATACACATGACACAAGGTCATCACGTGCAACATACACAGGGCACAAGGTCATCACGTGCAACATACACAGGACACAAGGTCACCACGTGCAACATACACAGGGCACAAGGTCATCACGTGCAACATACACAGGGCACAAGGTCATCACGTGCAACATACACAGGGCACAAGGTCATCACGTGCAACATACACAGGGCACAAGGTCATCACGTGCAACATACACAGGGCACAAGGTCATCACGTGAACCATACTCAGGGCACAAGCTCATCACGTACACAGGACACAAGGTCATCACGTGCAGCATACACAGGACACAAGGTCACTATATTTCTAAAAAAAAGCAAGCACCTGAAAAACTGAATAAAATATCTGATAAGAATCCCAGGGTGTAAAACTTTAGTGATGATCTTATCAAGGGTAAATTTTTCCGTCGTGTTTGTTTAAGCCGTTATTAAGTGGAACTACACGAACCGACAATACTGACATTATGTTAGGGGAATTAGGGAAGATTTTGTATGAAGCTAATGCTAGAAGGAAGATTTCGTATGAAGCTAATGCTAGAAGGAAGATTTTGTATGAAGCTAATGCTAGAAGGAAGATTGATTTTTTGGATGATTTGTTTGCAAGACTTTTGAGTTTATAAAGATGTGTATGTGGTGTGGGTGTACGTAGATGTGGATGTAGGTAGATGTGGGTGTAGGTAGATGTGGGTGTAGGTAGATGTGGATGTAGGTAGATGTGGGTAGATGTGGATGTAGGTAGATGTGGGTGTAGGTAGATGTGGGTGTAGGTAGATGTGGATGTAGGTAGATGTGGGTAGATGTGGATGTAGGTAGATGTGGGTGTAGGTAGATGTGGATGTAGGTAGATGTGGGTGTAGGTAGATGTGGATGTAGGTAGATGTGGGTGTAGGTAGATGTGGGTGTAGGTAGATGTGGATGTAGGTAGATGTGGATGTAGGTAGATGTGGGTGTAGGTAGATGTGGATGTAGGTAGATGTGGGTGTAGGTAGATGTGGGTGTGGATGTAGGTAGATGTGGATGTAGGTAGATGTGGATGTAGGTAGATGTGGGTGTGGATGTAGGTAGATGTGGATGTAGGTAGATGTGGATGTAGGTAGATGTGGGTGTAGGTAGATGTGGATGTAGGTAGATGTGGATGTAGGTAGATGTGGATGTAGGTAGATGTGGGTGTGGGTGTAGGTAGATGTGGGTGTAGGTAGATGTGGATGTAGGTAGATGTGGGTGTAGGTAGATGTGGGTGTAGGTAGATGTGGGTGTAGGTAGATGTGGATGTAGGTAGATGTGGATGTAGGTAGATGTGGATGTAGGTAGATGTGGGTGTAGGTAGATGTGGGTGTAGGTAGATGTGGGTGTGGATGTAGGTAGATGTGGATGTAGGTAGATGTGGATGTAGGTAGATGTGGGTGTAGGTAGATGTGGATGTAGGTAGATGTGGGTGTAGGTAGATGTGGATGTAGATAGATGTGGGTGTAGGTAGATGTGGATGTAGGTAGATGTGGGTGTGGATGTAGGTAGATGTGGATGTAGGTAGATGTGGGTGTAGGTAGATGTGGGTGTAGGTAGATGTGGATGTAGGTAGATGTGGATGTGGATGTAGGTAGATGTGGGTGTGGATGTAGGTAGATGTGGGTGTGGGTGTAGGTAGATGTGGATGTAGGTAGATGTGGGTGTGGATGAAGGAAGATGTGGGTGTGGATGTAGGTAGATGTGGGTGTGGGTGTAGGTAGATGTGGATGTAGGTAGATGTGGGTGTGGATATAGGTAGATGTGGATGTAGGTAGATGTGGGTGTGGATGTAGGTAGATGTGGATGTAGGTAGATGTGGGTGTGGATGTAGGTAGATGTGGGTGTAGGTAGATGTGGGTGTAGGTAGATGTGGGTGTAGGTAGATGTGGATGTAGGTAGATGTGGATGTGGATGTAGGTAGATGTGGGTGTGGATGTAGGTAGATGTGGGTGTAGGTAGATGTGGGTGTAGGTAGATGTGGATGTAGGTAGATGTGGATGTAGGTAGATGTGGGTGTGGATGTAGGTAGATGTGGGTGTAGGTAGATGTGTGTGTAGGTAGATGTGGATGTAGGTAGATGTGGATGTAGGTAGATGTGGATGTAGGTAGATGTGGGTAGATGTGGATGTAGGTAGATGTGGGTGTAGGTAGATGTGGGTGTAGGTAGATGTGGATGTAGGTAGATGTGGGTGTAGGTAGATGTGGGTGTAGGTAGATGTGGATGTAGGTAGATGTGGGTAGATGTGGATGTAGGTAGATGTGGGTGTAGGTAGATGTGGATGTAGGTAGATGTGGGTGTAGGTAGATGTGGATGTAGGTAGATGTGGGTGTAGGTAGATGTGGGTGTAGGTAGATGTGGATGTAGGTAGATGTGGATGTAGGTAGATGTGGGTGTAGGTAGATGTGGATGTAGGTAGATGTGGGTGTAGGTAGATGTGGGTGTGGATGTAGGTAGATGTGGATGTAGGTAAATGTGGATGTAGGTAGATGTGGGTGTGGATGTAGGTAGATGTGGATGTAGGTAGATGTGGATGTAGGTAGATGTGGGTGTAGGTAGATGTGGATGTAGGTAGATGTGGATGTAGGTAGATGTGGATGTAGGTAGATGTGGGTGTGGGTGTAGGTAGATGTGGGTGTAGGTAGATGTGGATGTAGGTAGATGTGGGTGTAGGTAGATGTGGGTGTAGGTAGATGTGGGTGTAGGTAGATGTGGATGTAGGTAGATGTGGATGTAGGTAGATGTGGATGTAGGTAGATGTGGGTGTAGGTAGATGTGGGTGTAGGTAGATGTGGGTGTGGATGTAGGTAGATGTGGATGTAGGTAGATGTGGATGTAGGTAGATGTGGGTGTAGGTAGATGTGGATGTAGGTAGATGTGGATGTAGGTAGATGTGGATGTAGGTAGATGTGGGTGTAGGTAGATGTGGATGTAGGTAGATGTGGGTGTGGATGTAGGTAGATGTGGATGTAGGTAGATGTGGGTGTAGGTAGATGTGGGTGTAGGTAGATGTGGATGTAGGTAGATGTGGATGTGGATGTAGGTAGATGTGGGTGTGGATGTAGGTAGATGTGGGTGTGGGTGTAGGTAGATGTGGATGTAGGTAGATGTGGGTGTGGATGTAGGTAGATGTGGGTGTGGATGTAGGTAGATGTGGGTGTGGGTGTAGGTAGATGTGGATGTAGGTAGATGTGGGTGTGGATATAGGTAGATGTGGATGTAGGTAGATGTGGGTGTGGATGTAGGTAGAAGTGGATGTAGGTAGATGTGGGTGTGGATGTAGGTAGATGTGGGTGTAGGTAGATGTGGGTGTAGGTAGATGTGGGTGTAGGTAGATGTGGATGTAGGTAGATGTGGATGTGGATGTAGGTAGATGTGGGTGTGGATGTAGGTAGATGTGGGTGTAGGTAGATGTGGGTGTAGGTAGATGTGGATGTAGGTAGATGTGGATGTAGGTAGATGTGGGTGTGGATGTAGGTAGATGTGGGTGTAGGTAGATGTGTGTGTAGGTAGATGTGGATGTAGGTAGATGTGGATGTAGGTAGATGTGGATGTAGGTAGATGTGGGTGTGGATGTAGGTAGATGTGGGTGTAGGTAGATGTGGATGTGGGTAGATGTGGATGTAGGTAGATGTGGATGTAGGTAGATGTGGATGTAGGTAGATGTGGGTGTGGATGTAGGTAGATGTGGGTGTAGGTAGATGTGGATGTAGGTAGATGTGGATGTAGGTAGATGTGGATGTAGGTAGATGTGGGTGTAGGTAGATGTGGATGTAGGTAGATGTGGATGTAGGTAGATGTCGGTGTAGGTAGATGTGGATGTAGGTAGATGTGGGTGTAGGTAGATGTGGATGTAGGTAGATGTGGATGTAGGTAGATGTGGGTGTAGGTAGATGTGGATGTAGGTAGATGTGGATGTAGGTAGATGTGGGTGTAGGTAGATGTGGATGTAGGTAGATGTGGGTGTAGGTAGATGTGGATGTAGGTAGATGTGGGTGTAGGTAGATGTGGATGTAGGTAGATGTGGATGTGGATGTAGGTAGATGTGGGTGTAGGTAGATGTGGATGTAGGTAGATGT